AGCTCAGAGACAGTGCCCAGGCCCTGAGTTCAAGCCCCAGGACTGGCAAAAAATAAATAAAAATCAAAATAGTCTAGTGATATAATGGGAAACTGGGGCAGAGTTAAAGCTGAAGAACACTGTAAGAGTGTATAGCTGATAAGGGACAGGGGAATGTAAAAGATGACTTTAAGCAAGTAAGACTAGGTGAATAGGAACATTGTAGCATGAAAGAATCAAATTCTTTATTAAATTCCTTATTTTAAAAATTCTGACCCAGGGGGCTGGGAAGGTGGCTCAGTAGTAGAGCGCTTGCCTTGCATGCATGAGGCCCTGGGTTCGATTCCTCAGCACCATATAAGCAAAAAGAAAAAAGCCGGAAGTGGTGCTGTGGCATCTAAGAGACAACACCTTTAGTTCAAGACCCAAGACCAGCACACACACAGACTTAATAACAGAGATACAAATACACCACTGAAGTACTCAAACATGAATATTCCACGTACAGGCTGATCGTCTCTAACATAAAAATCTGCAGCTCAAAACAATGCCCTAAATCTGAAACTTCTTGACTAGTAACATAATGGTCACAGGAGGAAAATTCCACACCTAACCTCCAAGATAGGTCAGTCAAAATATGAAAAGTATTACAAATATTATGTAACACTACCTTTACAGTACTTGTAGGAGATATACACAAAACACAGAATTTCATGTTTAGACTTGGATACCATCCCTGTAACTCCTAATGTACATGCTAATGTTTCTAAATACAAAAAAATTCCAAAATCAAAATCACATCTGGATTTGTCTGAAGCATTTCAGAAAGATACACTCAACCTGTACTAACAGTCTACTTCGGTTACAGACTAAATGTGTATGTCCCTCACAATCCAAACATTGATACCTCACCGGGAGATGTGATGGTATCTGGGGGAGAGCCTTTATGAGGTGATAAGGGTTTGATAGGATTAGAACAGAGTAGAGTCTCTTCTCTACAGAAAAGCCACAGGAGCACAGACTGAGAAAACAGATACAGTGGCATCATGTAGCAGACTTCCATCTGACTGAAAACCACTTGGGACAATTAATTTTTGTTATTTACAGCATATGGACTATGGCCTTTTAGGTTTTGTTATGACAGCCCAATCGTGCTAAGACAGTTCAGTAAAATATGGATTATTTGTCCACAAAATAGTCTCAGTGGGACCAAATATCAAGTTCAAGGTGTTCACCTTGGGAATTAATTACCAGAAGGCCCTGGTATGATCTTCTTTATCTCAAAAAGTAACTGTGAGTTTTCACAGCACTATTTTTAGAAGAGCCCACAGGAGTGTGTCCAAAGAGGTCATGATGGAAATAATACTAGGGGACTTTATTTCCTAGCAGAAGAAATGCTTGTCTTGATTTTTAAACTTCCATAATCACAAAAAGGAATACAGGCCTTTGAACTCGACATGGGAAAAGGAACGGAATTCCCCATCTGGTGGGCGGAGAATACAGTTGTGTTTAAAATACTGAAAGGAAGACTGTTTCCTCCTCAGGATGCTTATGATGATCCCACATTACTACACCTAGTTACAATAATCAGTTTATTTAAGAGCAAAATGTCCTTTGTGATGCAAATGAAGAGTATGGTCTGAGGATGTCATTCTTCTAATGGAAGAACAAAAATCTATTTAATATGGAATGAGTAAAGTAGGCTGAGGGAGATAATTTTTAGTGGCTACAGGAAAAAGCACAGTTAGGCTTCAGGCCTTTTATTCCTGGGAAAATATGTATAGAGAAAACTTTTAAAATATTCTTTGATTAGAAATATACATGTACCCATGTAATAACAGAACATGTGCATTCTGCTAGTATGGCATAAAAGAAAATAATATTCATGAAAATCTCTTTAAGAACATCATGACAGAAGTTAGAAAAATCCTATAGTCAAATTCAAAATGCCTTTTGTGAATTTTTTATCTCCTACAGTAACCTAGAAAAGTTCTCCACTGAGTAAAATATATATATATATAAAACAGGAAATCAAATACCATTAAAATTGCAGATCAGAAAATGAATTCACCCCTGTCTAACAGACTGCAAAAGATACAGAGAAAAATACAGGGAAACTGAATAAATACTGGCTGAACTATAGAAAAACTTAACAAGTTGATCTAGAATAAACATTTGGTTTCCTTTTAATGAACAAAGTAAATATCTCAAAAGTAACTCTAAAAATGGTTACGAAAGTCTAATATTATGTATGAGTGATGTCTATGTTAAGCACCCAACTAAAGAATCTGTAAGCCGGGCACCAGTGGTTCACGCCTATAATCCTAGCCACTCAGGAGGCTGAGATCTGAGGATTGCGGTTCAAAGCCAGCCTGGGCAGGAAAGTCCATGAGACTCTTATCTCCAATAAACCACTTGAAAACCAGAAGTGGCACTGTGGCTCAAGCGGTAGAGCACTTGCCTTGAGCTGAAGAGCTGAAGAGCTGAGGGACAGCACCCAGGCCCAGAGTTCAAGTCCCACAACTGACTAAAGAAAGAAGAAAAAGGAAGAGGAGGAGGAGGAGGGCGAGGATGAGGACGAGGACGAAGACAATGTCTAATTGCTAAAGCTTGAGGTGGGCTTATAACAAGATCCTACACTGAAACATAATGTCGCCAACTGCTATGACTACACTCAGTCATATCCATATATTTCCAAAGTTTGCTTTTCTCTGTAGTGTCTTTTTCACCCATGCTAACCACACAGACTAAAGAAGCCTATTTATGATTTTATAATGTCAGAGATTACTACACACATGCTGACTCTGTCTGATCAACTCACCCCTCAGATGAGTGCTTTTTGAGTACTTGTGGTTCTGTTCCTTCCAAAACACAGTGTTTCAAAGGTTCTCAAGGAACAAACACAGAGAAGCCACACCTTCCTTCCAATTACCACTTAAAATGTTTCTATTACTTCTAAGCTAATAGCATGTCTGGACGAGTGTAAAATTGCTACCACTGGGAAGAAAAATATTAGTATAATATTTCTTGTCATAGATTCCTAAACTGCTAATCTTCATCCAAGGCAAACAAGCTTTTGCACACATACCACAGATCTAGGAAAATGGTGAAGGAGGTAAATACAGCATCACAAAGGATACTGGAAAGAATGGAGCTTGAAGGACAACGTTCCAGTCCCCAAAGAGAATGAAGTATAGGAAGCTCTACATACACATAATAGAAAGACAGGAGTCTGAAGGATTAGGGAGTTATTTCTCACTAATTAGGAGTCAAAATACTTTGGAGGGAAGAAAAGGCATAAATTGACCTGCTGCAAGACCTAGTATAGATGTCCCGTTGAACTACACAATTTAAAAAAAGGTCAAGTTAAAAATGTTATGTATCTAACATAGAAGCACTGACTGGTCTGGGACCAAACAGTGGGCTTTATAATACTAAAGAGTATCTGATACTGTGGGCTCAGGTGCCAGAGGTTAAGTTGTCAAATACATTCAGGGGCAGAGGGCATTTCTATGTACTTTCTCCTCATAGAAGTCACACTAGGAAATAACTGCACTGGGTAAACATCCATTTTTTGGCTGTATTAGATTTTTTTAATGTTTTAGTTTTGAGGACAAAGTTGGAATCTTCCTAAAATGATATAACTTTAGTTATAGTGTAAGTTATACCTTAATCTTCCTAAATAATCTTTAAAGATTATTTTCAAACTCTTTTTTTTGGGGGGGGAGGGGAAGGGTCCGGTCGTGGGGCCTGAACTCTGGCCTGGGCGCTGTCCCTCAGCTCTTCAGCTCAAGGCTAGTGCTCTATCACTTGTGAGCCACATTGCCACTTCCCGCTTTTTTTTTCCTGCTTATGTGGTGCTGAGGAATCGAACTCAGGGCCTCATGCATGCAAGGCAAGCGCTCTACCACTGAGCCACCTTCTCAGCCCATTTTCAAACTCTTGATTCCAGGTAATGCCTCTTCATTCACTTTTCTCAAACTATGTCAAAAGAAGGGACAGGGGCAAGTGAACTGCAAAGACAAAGAGAAAATCTACTCGAACTCCATAAACAGGATCTATTGTATTTGGGGGAGAAAGGAATGAGTCTGGAAATATTAGCATTTCCATCATGTGTTCCAAAGTTCCCCATTCAGGTTAACCTTGCTCTTTGTGAAGATTTTTTGTTTTGGGTTTTTTTGCTTGTTTGTTTGTTGTTTTGTCAGTCATGGGGCTTGAACTCTGTCTGTAAGCTCTTTTGCTGAAGGAAAGGGCTCAACTTCTTTGAGCCCAGCGCCATTTCAGTTTTTCTGGTGGTTAATTGGAGATAAGAGTTTCACAGACTTTCCTGCCCAGGTTGGCTTTGAACCGTGATCCTCAGATCTCAGCCTCCTGAGTAGCTAGGGTTACAGGCATGAGCCATGGTGCCTGGCTAAGATTAGTTTTCAAAGGCACTGCACTGGTATGAAATTTCCTCATTCAAAATAAGCTTCAGGGAACCTTCTGAAAGGCACAAATTCTTCAAACAAGAAAATGAAGTATTTACATTTTTTACTATTGCGGATACATTCTACAAGAATGATTCATTCATGTGATAATGCAATGAAAAACAAACATAAAGTTCCAAAAGACAGCTAACACATTTAAATTATGTCAGCACTATACTTAGGAGGAAAACACTGCACTGCTTAAATTCTACGTGATCCAAAATCTGTAATGAGGCATGGGAAGATACCAAGAACTCACGTCCCATCCATGTTATTTGGAGGAATCCAACTCTAACATAATAGAGACAATATGATGTCTTTCCAGAACCAAGAAGAAAGAGAAGATGCGTGATGAAGCCTATCTCAATCTACAATGTTAGTTTGTACTGATCTGAAGCTTCCAGGTCACAGCCACATTCAACCCCAGGCTTGTTTCCCTGCAGTAGATCATGCCATGCAGAGCAGACACAGAAAGGCTGGAGTTATCCACAACAAAATGAAACAGCATGAAGCAAGCTCCAGAGGTACAAGGCTGAATTAGCTACATGAGCTTACCATATATCTCCGATCTACTCTCCTCTGAACTAGACTTTGTCTTCTTGGAGGAGCTATCTGCACAGGAGCGGGAGAAAAGGAGAGATATAGAAAATATGGAAACCAATGTAAGGGGGGAAAATTCATGGGGGTAAAAAGAATGAATCATGATCAAGTTAAATCGTGCAAACATGAGGTATGGACATCACAGGTGAAAGCATTTAGAATAGTCATGAACAGCACAGGTAATGACATCTTTTAAAGATTTATCGAAGAAAAGACAGTGCAATAAAAATACAGTCATACAAAACAACACATGAATAATCTACAAAATGTATAATCACCTGGCAATTGCAGAGATGAAAAAAAGCACCAAAAGTTATATTAATGAAGGATCATACCTCTTTGTTAAATCTGTCGTTGGACCTGGACCATCATACATGAACAATACAAAATAAATCTAACAAAACTAAAACATTTTCATGAATACAGGGCAGAAACCTGTGACCTTTATTATCAAGACAATAGCTAATCACATAAATGAAACCCATGAACCCCATGACTTCAAAACTATGTGTCAGAAATAGAGAATCCCCTCTTCCTGGAGATCTGTAAGTGACCAAAGCCTCCTAAACTGATGCTAGAATTTCCTTTCCCCCATTGGCCAAGATGTAGCTTAACTATTAGCTGTTTGCTTCTTAGTTGTCCCTTCACAGATACTTTTATTTTTGTTCAAATTTCAGGACCAGTTTGAACTAAAAGTATGAAACACTGTAACTATATACAAAAAACATATTACTCCATTAATTATGGGAAATTATATTGCTAAGTACAAATATCTTAAAAGATGTTACATTTATGTATCTGGGATTGCAGCATTTACTTTATCTTTTGTAATGGGAATATACAACTCAGCTAAATAATACATGTTCAAAGAACATGTATCAATTTCAAATAACAAAAGAAACTTAAGCAATTTTTTAAAGTTAACTGTTAAGTTTACAAGGAGAAGAAAAAAGAAAAAGCCTAAATTCCACAAGAGAAATTCTCTATATCTGAAAAAATACCTATCTATTGGGGAAAAAAAACAACACTACAAAGGTTAAGACAGATCTGAGTTCAGAAAAACTTTTAATTCAAGAAAAGGGGATTTGGGGTTGGGAAGGTGGCTCAGTGGTAGAGCACATGGCTTGTATGCCAGAGGCCCTGGGTTCGGTTCCTCAGTACCACATAAGCAAAAAGAAAAAAGCCGGAAGTGGCACTGTGGCTCAAGTGGTAGAGCGCTAGCCTTGAGCTGAAGAGCTGAGGGACAGCGCTCAGGCCCAGAGTTCAGGCCCCATGACCGGACCCAAAAAAAAGAAAAAGAAAAGGGGATTTCTATTCATTTGCTTATTAAAAATGAGAAAAATCATTCATTTTTGAAGCTGTTGTCACAACAACTGAATTCTGAAATAATGCAGAAGCAGTGGTTGTTCCAACCTTGATTTGATGACAAGTACTCTTACCATGACCCATCTTAACAGTAAATCCTTGATGTGACCCAAATCCAAGTATGATGTAGCTGTTTCTATCATTATCATTATTCTTAAATATACAAGGATGCATCTATCTGGAAGTCCAAAATATGAAAGTTAAAACGTGTGTAATCCCTGATAAATGCCAAGGGGACGCTATATGACTGGGGGTGGGGGTGGGGGCTGGAAGAGCACTAATGACAACAAGAAAAACCACCACTCATGGTACCTCAGGATGCTTAGGCTCTATCATTCTGACCCTCATGATTCTCAATATTTTTTGGAAGAATTAATACAGTGTATTTTACCTGTAGGGTCAAAATCATGTGATGTACTGCGTTCAACTTTCTGCTTCTTATCTGTTGGTGACTCTCGGTTCAAAATACTTCCATGCCTAAATTAAATCAAAGCAACCAAATATTTACTATAAGAAAAGCATTAGAATAATATTCAATTTAAAAATTAAAAAAATGTGTTCTACAAAAAGAAAGCAACATAAGCTTCTCTATGTTTTTCAAAAAGTTTTTTAAAATTCAATCTATGCTATAATACATATCTACTCATTAATACATATCTACTCATTATTAAAGTACATTTTATTCTTAGAAAGGGCTGTTTATAGTGTATAATACTTTTTACATGTCATCATGATCCTTTCTTTAAAAAAAAACAAAACAGTGCCTAAAATATGTGATGGCCAAGCTCAGAATCACTGAATGAGTACAGCATGCAGAAGAGTTGACAGAGCACATTTAGCTGAAGCCAGACTTACTTTAGCCCCACCTCTATGCTCTAGCCACATAAGTCTCAGCCAATCACCTTAACGGCTCAAGAGGCCCTCACAATGGGATGTTTTTCTGTGACCTAGCCATTCATTGATCAGATAACGGCTTGGCAAAACAAGACCCTAACTATGATAGAGAACTATTGATTAAATGAAATGTTAGTGATATCATTAAAAATGATAAAAATAATATAATTAGGAATGACATACTGTCAACATTTTAAACAGTATTAATGATTAAGATGAAAGAGAGGAGATGGTACATCACAAGTACTGGACAGGAGTATTTCTTCTTGAGAAATCAACACTGATATGAGCACTAGCAAATTTGAACATTCTGGGTTTTGTTTTGTCTTAAAATAATTAGGATGTAAGCCGGGCGCCGGTGGCTCACGCCTGTAATCCTAGCTACTCAGGAGGCTGAGATCTGAGGATCTCAGTTCAAAGCCAGCCCGGGCAGGAAACTCCATGAGACTATTATCTCCAGTAAACCACTAGAAACCCGGAAGTGGCGCTGTAGCTCAAGTGGTAGAGTGCTGGCCTTGAGCTGAAGAGTTCGGGGACAGTGCCCAGGCCCAGAGTTCAAGCCCCACGACCGACAAAAAAAAAATAATAATAATAATAATTAGGATGTAGTGAGGCGCCGATGGCTCACACCTATAATTCTAGCTGTATAGGAAGCTGAGATAGTAAGGATCACTGTTCATATCCACCCCTGGCAGAAAAGTCTCCATGAGACTCTTATCTCCAATTAACCACTCAAAAACCAGAAGTGGCACTGTGGCTCAAGTGGTAGAGTGTTATCCTTGAACACAAACAGGCTCAGGGACAGTACCCAGGCCCTGAGTTCAAACCCCACAACAAAACATAGGATATAACCAGTGCCTAAGTTCATTAAAGGGAGTTACAGTCACTAAAGTGATAAAACACATTGAAAAGTAGCAACCTATTCTCACCTTCCCAAGTAACATCCCCAATGATCAGGAAACAGCTCTTAAAATTAAATAAATCTCTTCACAGTATCAATGTCAATAAACTGTGATAACAAATAAACTTTTCAAATGCTTATGTTTAAAAAACTGAAAATATTATCAAAACAATACTGCACTCCAGAAAAAATATGCAACACCTGTTATATTTTAAGTTTGTGAAGCATTATGAAATTTTGTACTACTTAAATCCATACTCTCAAAGAACCACAAAAATTCTCATAATTATGAAGGAATGCATCTAATTAAAATTTAGCCTACACTTTAAAATGCAGGTCAACTGAACTACTTACCTTATAGGTTTTTTGAGGGGAAACCTGGAACAAAGAAAAAAAGTATTTGTAGTTATTTCACTTATAAGCTTCTTGTATTAAGTTTATTAGCCATACTACACCAGAGTAAGGAATATAAATCATATGCTAACTTTCCTAAGGCAAGATTTAACAGACAGGTAGAAGAAGAAGGCAGACACCATTTTTAGTTTCTTTATCTCATCCAATCTCTCCCTTGGTTATTTATGTTTAGCTTCAATAACATAAATTTTTTAAAAATACTTTTGGAGTACGATCAGCTATTAAAAATGCATTCCAAAAGTAGAAAACAAACAGTACTTTCTTTTCTGCTTTCTTTTGTTCTAGGGTTCTGTTAGCTGAAAGAAGGAAAAGCATTTATTTCCTACTGGTTGTCTTTCTTCTGAAGAAACATTACAGAGGCTTCTGGATAAACCCTGATGCTATACCGAAACAGGTGGAGAGGGTGCTCTTCCAATCTTCTTTTGATTTGTCTTTCTTAAATTATTTCAGTCTATAGTATTTTATGTAAAGATTATTTCATCTGAGAATAGTACTTTACCAAACACATCTATAAAAGCACATGTGTTTGTGTTTTAGTAAATTCTGTTTTTTAGTGGTTTCAGCAGGTTACAGCAATTTCACATGGTTTTACAAGAAGACAGTAACACAGGTAGTAAGAAATATGCCTAAAACAATGATACTTGAATGGTTGTATCCCATTTAGCATGGAGGCTTCAAAAGCAAACCTAAAAGTTTAGCAAACAATTTCTTATAAAACTTTTTTTTTCTCCTGATACTGGGGCTTGAACTCAGAGCCTTGAGATCTCTTGCTTGGCTTTTCTGACTCACTGCTGGTGCTCTACCACTGGAGCCATGCCTCCACCTCCTCCTTTTAACTCTTATTTAAATCAAACTGATCGAGAGAAAAAGGCAAAGAATCTAAAGGACTCTTCATATGTGATGGTACATTAACACACAAGCAAGTTAACAGTAACATGGCAGAGTGCTTCTGAGACAGAAGAACACTGCCCTAAAGAGCATCTGGATACAAAAGACATCCAAATCTTCACATGAGCGTTCCTGTGTAGTCTGTCCATCCATGTTGGGTGGGTGTGAAAGGGAATGAGAATCCGTCCTCTCCCACTTACATCCCCATATAGGGTTTGAACTTAGAGCTCTAGAGAGCCCTCAGCAGGCACTCTACTGCTGAGCCACACCTCCAGCTCCAGTATGTCTTTTAGTATACAGAGGATTATAAATGGTTAGCAAAGGAATCCAGACTGAGTTTTTATCATCCTTAGTTACTCCGACCCCTCGCATTATAAAAGCCCCTGCCCCCGAACAATGCTATTTGCGTCAAGATCTGTAATATCCAAAGGGATTCTGGCAAAGAGTCCTGGCAGTTCCCAGATTACTGATTGTAAACCAGTTTCCTGAGCTATTTTCTCTCACAAAGGAAGGGAAAAGGAAGGAAAATACGAAGTCAAAAATGGAATGAGAAGGTAAAGAACAAGGACCATCACAGAAAAATCATAATCTAGTTACTATTTCATAAAGTACAGATGAAGCACTTAAATTTTGAAAGATTAAATCACAGTATTTTTCTCCAATCACTGAATTCCATTTTATTGTATCTACAAAAAAAAGGATCTAAGAAAACAAACATGCTCGTAATATTTGCCTATATGTAACAAAATAAAAAACCTTGGTGTCTCTTTCTTCCAAGTTCCTCTACTTTGACTAAGAAAGTCACCAAAACAATCCCACAGTTTAATAAAAGTGTCAACTAGCTGCAGAATAATGAAACAGGAGTGTAATTCAAGAGCTGGAAACAGGAGGCCAGAACCTCCAACAAAAGTTGAAGATTTGAGACATCAAATCTGACCACAGAAATTTAAAATAGCAAATTATGAAGTAAATTGCAAAGGGCAAATTGCAGGGGGGAAAAAACAAGCATCGGTATGATTAAGAATGGAAGCAGAAGCTAAGGAAGAGGATTAAGAAGATGAGTCAGAAAAGACAAAGGGCCAAGGGAGAAAGGATAATAAATACACTACCAAATGCCACAGAAAGGCAGGTCTGAAGGCTAAAAAGTGCCCTGCTTAACAGCCTGGGCTGATGACCCAAGCCCAGGCTTTCAATGCTTTCAAGACCTGTCCCCTGCCATCGAATCAGGAAACAGCTGGTTATCCATTTGTGTAGAACAGTTGTATTTGAATACCGATAGAATACCAGAGGTACCTAATGGAGTTGTCTGGCTTTTGAAAATATGTGATGACTTGGACATTTAGCCAACACTGAACATGTTTGTGTATATGTATATATGATTGTATTTTTCTAGATATTGAAGAAACACAGTGAAAAATATGGAAAAGGTTATCAGGAGTTTGAGTCACTGTGATCAAGGTGATTAGATGCTCTTACTCTTGATAGCTGTAAAGAGCAAAATTTTATAATCAGAAACTCACCCAAAAATTATTCAGAATATATTTGTTCATTACATTCAACCTTTTGCTTGTTAAGTTTTAGCTCTAATGCAAATGTCTGTGGACTTTACTACATAGTACATAGAGGCCATCTCAACAAACTGTTATTATGGTATAGAGAAAAATGTGCTTTAGTGGCTAAAGAGCCCTAATTTAATAAATAGTGAATACTAGAGTAAAACTTGCACTGTAGCCAGGTTTCACTTTGACTTTATTATTGGGATATTCTTTTAAGATTGCCACATTTTTTATCATCACCTATTTGCCTGTATTAAATCATTTTACTAGAAATCATATTCAGTATTGTAACAATAAATGCAATAAAAACTGTTCTGAGGCCATGCGAGAGGAAATGAAAATTCCACACGCCAGCGTTAATTCCCATCCTCCCCTTTCCTGACCAAGGGTTTCACTGCTACCGCAGTGGATGGTCATGACATGAAATTTGGGACTCTAAAGCCAGGGGCCAGTGGCTCACGCCTGTAAGCCTAACTACTCAGGAGACTGAGATCTGAGGATCATGGTTCAAAGCCAGCTAGTCCAGGAAAGACTGTGAGCCCCTTATCTCCAATTAGCCATCAGAAAACCTGTGGCGCAGTGGTTCAAAGTGATAGAGTGCTTGCCTTGAGCAAAAGAGCTCAACTCCCAGGCCTAAAGCTCAAGACTTGTGACAAAAACCAAAATAAAATTTTTTTAAAAAGGAATTTAAGACTCTAAATGGTTATTCTTTTCTTCCCTCCTTCCTTCCTTTCTTCTCTCTCCCTTTTATCACTCTCTCTCTCCTCCTCTCCCTTTCCTCTTTTTCTGTGTATCCAGTACTGAGGCTTGAACTTGTGGCCTCTCGCTCCCACTCAGCTTTTGACAACATGGCCGTCCCACCAGCTGTGACAGAGCATGTCTCTGCTTGAGCCAGGCCTCCAGTCCCAGATGGTTAGTCTTAATGAGGGATGACCGAAATGAAAGGGAAGAGGCTAAGGAAATTTTATCAGCCTTGGATAGTGGTCAAGTTTATTAGTAGACAAAGCAGGGTGTGATGGTACTAATCCCAGTACTTGGGAAACTAAAACAGGAAGACAGGGAATTCTAAGACAGCGGGAGGCTACACAGGAAGACCCTGTCTCAAAATCTGAACCAAACCAAACCAAACCAAACAAAAAAAGATCATTTGTAGCCAAACAATGTTAGCTAGTGAATTTAAATGTAAATTTAAATGAAATACAGCCTCATCTCACTGTCATCCATGCCAGCGAGGAGAGTTCTACCTGCAAATTAGGCAATAGGATAGTCTAAGGTTCAAATCTCAGGACACGATAATGGGAGTGCAGGAATCAGAAAAAGACAGGGTGGGTAGGGAATAGGTGTTATATGCTGCTGGTACAGTTAGTGTGAATTTATGTAATTCCAAGCCTAGAGCACAGAGAATTCCTCAGAAAAAAATATATAACTGAGTTTATAACCTATATCACAACATAATAGGAGCTTGAACTTAACCAAGTTGCTTAACTTTTCCACCATCATCTGTAAAGCAAAGATAACAGTGGTATTTACCTCACAAATCTTGAGGATTAAATTAGGAAATGAGAAGCAGCACCTAGCAAGTCTACCCTTAATTATTATTAAGTACCACTTAATTATTAGCTATTAGGAAGAACAAAAGTAAATCTGAACATTAGTGACATGCATTCAAATTAAACAGAAAAGAATAAAGTTAAACACTAACAATACTCAAATAGCTGCTTGGCTCAATAAAATGCCTAGAAATGCAGAGTTCAAAGCCAGAGGTAAAACCACAGATTTAACTCAAGTTATAGTGTATAAAATTAGCATCAACTGAGGCCCTAGGTTCGATTCCCCAGCACCACATAAGCAAAAAGAAAAAAGCCGCAAGTGGCACTGTGGCTTAAGTAGTAGAGCACTAGCCTTGAGCTGAAGAGCTGAGGGACAGCACCCAGGCCCAGAGTTCAGGCCCCATGACCGGACCCAAAAAAAATAAAATAAAATAAAATAAAATTAGCATCAATACTCAAATGAAAAAACTTCCTAAAGGCTACAGGGTAAAGAAAGTTTTTCCTGACAATGGGGTTTTGGGTTTTTTTTAAACCTTGTGAAGTTAGGCTGAGCACACTCACCACTAAGTAGTTAAATCAAGTTCACTAATTCTCCTTTAAAATATCAGGAATGGATGACCAAGAATTCTATCGGCTAGATTTTCATTTATCTATACCTACAAAATAAATAGCTTATGGTATAACATTGAAACTGATATGAATCTGAACCATGCTCTAGTTTATTTTTTTCACAACACAGAATAGCTGAGTATTTGTCTGCCATACATAAAAGTATAGCACATAGTGCTCTCTCTTCTACTGAGAGATTTATGAATGGCAAGATATATCGGACAAAAAGCAGTAAGTGGCCAACCACATCCCCACCACCACCAGCACCCACAAAGCATCATAAACCCCTTTTCTACCTGTGTGGGACATAGCTGGTCTCCCTTAGTTATCAAAAGAACTAGAAATCTGGAGCTCACACAAC